CATATACACCAACTACTCACCTTGAAGTGGGTTTGAAGGAACCGCAGAAGCGGACTTCGCGTTGCATAAGCGAAGTCCGGGCTTCTAAGTGAAAACCGCTTAAGCGGAAATGTGGCCGCAGAAGCGGTCCCGCATAAGCGAAAGCGGGACCGCAGAAGCGAAAATCGCTGGGCGACAGAAGGGTTTTAAAATAATATTTCATCCGCGACCCTTTCATATTTTTCCTCCATTGTTGACGTTCTTAAGAGCTTTGAACAAGGAAATTCGAGGGTTTTGACTGAGAATCACTTGGAGGTAAGTTCCTTGGCCTAAATATTCGAATTTATGGTAGAAATTACATGTAAATTGTAAAAAATTCATCAAAAACGGGTCAGGCTAGGGCTTGGAAAGCTGTGATGTAAAAATGGAATTTGGAGGGTCAAACGAGCTCCGATTTTGGTAAACTTTATATGCACGGACTCGTGGCGAGACGAGGAATCCGCTGGTGTAATTTTCGAAATTTTTTGAGAAGTAGGCCCAGGGTTCGGGTTTTACCAACTTCGTGAATTTTAGTACTTTTCGAGTATTTTTGATTGGGTTATGTTTCTTTAACCCATATTTATGTATTTGTTGTGATTTTGACTAGATTCGACGCGCGAGGAGGTCGATACGAAAGGAAAAGGCATTGCGGACCATTCTACGGCCGGATAGAGATGAGTAGTTGGTGTATATGATGGCCTGAGGGTTTGAAACCCCGGCTTATCACATTGTGACGCTATTGTAGGGCGTGACTCGCACCCCATGGCAGGTGCGGGATTGGTTATGACTGGGGGATCGAGACTTAATCCANGGCAAGCCAGACCACAATCGTTCCCAAATTAACCGTAAACCTCAAACCGACAATCTAAAGAGATTATAATAGTTTTAGACTAATAATCCAATATTTATAATAGATAATACTGAGAAAAATACGAAGTCTGATAAAACGCTCCCAAAGACCTGGGGTCACGAGTCTAGAGCCTCTAAAACAATCTGAATAACAATATCTGAACGAGAATACTCAAGTCTGGAAATGTATATATAAATAAATCTAAAATAGGAAGAGTAGTCAGGTCCTGCGAACGTCAAGCAGCTACCTCAACAACTTTGATAAGCTCTGGGAAACAAAGACTGCTCAGCTAAGCCTCCGGTGTACCTGAATCTGCACACAAGGTGCAGGGAGTAGGGGTGAGTACTACCGACTCAGTGAGTAATAAGCATATAAAATGTCTGGAGATAAGAAATCCACGAAATGCCACAAAGTAAAGCTAAAACTAACAGTCCAACACCTAACTACGAACTAACAGCAAAACAACTTCAATATATCAGTCAAGTATAATGCAAAGATGCAATGCAATGCACATGACCGCTACGGCGCGTAGCCCGATCCATTTAACGTCGACGGCGCTCACTGGGGGTGTGTACAGACTCCGGAGGGGCTACTTCAGCCCAAGCGCAATATAATCATACCATTCGCTGCGGCGTGCAGCCCGATCCATACTCAGTCCACAATATGCATATGAGTCACGTAACAGATTCAATTAATTTCCCAATTTCCAATTTATTAAGAAGAATATACTTTAGATATTTAACTTCAGGAAAAGTGACTTACCGTTTCATAACAGTGATTAAACACAGGACTGAGATCAATGATTATACAAAGCATGCTATCACAATGACATTCATCCTCTAAGGATGCTACAGATCGGCACAAGGCCCCAAACACGGCAATAAGCACAGATATATTCAATACAGGGTGCGTATCAGTCGCCGATATAGAAATATTCTTGTTCGGGATGGACTAAGTCTCAATCCCCAGTCATAACCAATCCCGCACCTGCCATGGGGTGCGAGTCACGTCCTACAATAGCGTCACAATGTGATAAGCCGGGGTTTCAAACCCTCAGGCCATCATATACACCAACTACTCACCTCTAACCGGCCGTAGAATGGTCCGCAATGCCTTTTCCTTTCGTATCAACCTCCTCGCGCGTCGAATCTAGTCAAAATCACAACGAATACATAAATATGGGTTAAAGAAACATAATCAAAAATACTCGAAAAGTACTAAAATTCACGAAGTTGGTAAAACCCGAGCCCCGGGCCCACTTCTTGAAAAACTCCGAAAATCAAACCAACGGATTTCTCGTCTCGCCACGAGTCCGTGCATATAAAGTTTACCAAAATCGGAGCTCGTTTGACCCTCCAAATTCCATTTTTACATCACAGCTTTCCAAGCCCTAGCTTGACCCGTTTTTGATGAATTTTCTACAATTTACATGAAATTTCTACCATAAATTCGAATATTTAGGCCAAGGAACTTACCTCCAAGTGATTCTCAGTCAAAACCATCGAATTTCCTTGTTCAAAGCTCTTAAGAACGTCAACAATGGAGGAAAATATGAAAGGGTCGCGGATGAAATATTATTTTAAAACCCTTCTGTCGTCCAGTCCAGTTTTCGCTTCTGCGGTCCCGCTTTCGCTTATGCGGGACCGCTTCTGCGGCCACATTTCCGCTTTTGCGATCTTCACTTAGAAACCCAGACTTCGCTTATGCAACGCAAAGTCCGCTTCTGCGGTTCCCTCAAAACCGCTTCTGCGGACCCGCTGGTGCGAGCCACCTTCCGCTTCTGCGGAATTTCCCTAGCCGGCCAACGACCGCTTCTGCGACCACGTACCCGCTTCTGCGGTACCGCTTCTGCGGTCTATTTCCGCAGAAGCGAAAACACCAGATGATAGCAAAATCTGACCTGCAATACTCCTTAAAACTCTCGTTTAACCACCCGAATTCACCCCGAGGCCCTCGGGACCTCAACCAAATGCCCATATATGTTCTATTACTTCATTCAAACTTGCTCGTAACATAAAAACACTGTCATAAACACCAAAATCATCGAATTACCACGGATTCAAGCCTAAGTTAAACTAAAACTTCCGAAACTTGCATTTGATCTAAAACCCGACCTAAACACCTCTGAATGATCTGAAACTTTGCACGCATATCCAAAATCACCTAACGGAGCTACTGCAACTCTCGAAATTCCATTCCGACCCTCGGATCAAAATCTCGTCTACCATCCGGAATTCGCCAAAATCCAACCTCAGCCAATTCAAGCCTAATTCTACACCGGACCTCCAAATTCAACTCCGATTGCGCTCCTAAGTCACAAATCATCTCCCGAAACTGGTCGAATCATCGGAAATCCATTCCGAGCCTTCTAACTCATAAGTCAACATTCGGTTGACTTTTCCAAACAATCCTTCTCATAAAGAGACTTATTGTCTCATTTCTAACCGAACTCTATCCGAATTACTTCAAATTCTCCAAACACATATAATGAAACATATAGAAGCATAAAACGGGGAAAACGGGGCGGTAACTCCCATAACGACGGGTCGGGTCGTTACATTGTCACGAATCTTTTATTACATCTAGCGAACAAAATCTGAAGGAAATCCAAGCCGCGCGCATCGTCGTTTAATCCCATCATCAACTTTTTCATAATCTACTAGGAGAATACAGAAGGGACACAACAAACTGCAACAATTTAACACGCCTGCTTGGCTACGGCAAGTTGCAAATAACGCTCAAGTGGAACATGTATTTGCAGGTTCAGCAGCAAATACAGTTGCGGAGTGACACATCGAAACAAGCCCAATTTGAGAAATTTCCGAAAGAATCAACACTTTCACTGTTTGTTTTTAGATGTATTTAAATGTATTTAGATGTATTTAGATGACTTTCACTGTTTTACTTATGAATGTGTTATGTATTTCAAATACACATCTGTATTTTATTGATAAATAATTATTACAGTGACTTTCACAGTTTGTTTTTAGATGTATTTAGTTGTATTTAAATGTATTCACAAGACTTCCACTGTTGTACTATGAATATGTTATTTATTCCATATACATGTATTCATCTAAAATGAGTACATGTTTTGAAATCTACCAGACGATAGAAACAGAAAAAGGAGGGATTGAAAATCTAGAGATTGTTCTGTTTTGTGGTCTTTTTTTGGCTGGGAAATCTTTTCTTTAACGTGAAATACAGATTATGCGTGTTATAATTGAGTTAGTTGAGTTATATTAGGAGTCTATCGCGTTAATTGATTTACTTACCGTTTTAAACAGCTGAAAAGACCATTTTTATGCAGTTTACGTTACTGTATTCACAAATACAGCTCGCGAATACAGTCGAATACAATCGAATACAACTGTTGATTGGCTGGATTCCCCTGTTTCACGCCGAGTTCAACTTAAATACATCGAATACACTCTATAACAACTAAAAACATAGCTATAGCAAGTAATTTAGTAAATAGTAGTTATAGCTAGCTAATAACCCCTAAACAATAGTGGTTTATGAAAATTTCTATTACTTTTTTCTCTTTGATTGTTTCATCTATGATAGGACAGAGTTGAGATTTGAGAAGTTACATTTGCAGCGGTAAAGTTCGAGTTCAAACTATCTACTAATTGGACCTTTTTCATTTATTTTTTTTCCCTGACTTTTTCACTTCCTTGTTACCTACTATGTGAAATAAAAAAGGAATTCAACTGTTTTTTCTTTCGCACGAATAAAATTTTTTCTACCCCCATATACCTTTAGATTAAAAAAGTCGATTCTACTATTACTGTTGGAGTTTTGTACCGTAAAGGGTGCTGATTAAAAGCCTCATGGCCTATATGGCAAAAATAGGAAGACCAATTAAAATTTCGAAGAGAAATACGTACTTGACACTACTATAAAAAAGATCTTTGGCGGCAATTATTTAGCGGCAATAAAGCAATTGTTGCTAATCAATTCTTTAAGCTGAAATATTAACGGTATATGACCATTTGCCAGTAAAAAGATATTCTTTAGTGACAATAAAAAGAATTGCTTCTAAAAAACATTAACTGAAATTAATTTTTTTTATCATTTCAACTTTCCCTCTGTACAAAATAAAATAAAATCTTCCCTCCAATTTTTTGGACAAGAATTAAGTATTCCCTCCGATTAGAAACCAATAGGACTTCTGCGAAAAAGGAAAAAAAAAAGATAACAAAACCTATTCCCTTTCGACAGTCTCCAGCCTACGAAATCTCTAACAAAATCGTGGCGGCTTGCGACAGTCTCCGGCGACCTTCTTCCCAAATTCCAGGTAACTTTCTCCTCTTCCCCAGGTAAGTTTTGCGAAATCTGTTGTCAATCTTCTCCCTCTCTTCTGTCTTCCCCAAATCTACAAATTTTTGCGAAATCTTCCCCAAATTAGCTAAGATTGAGAGCTTTGAATTACAGACATAAATATATGGGAGTTCAAGGTAAAAAGAGTTTCGCCATGACTGCTAATAAGTCAATATTAGTACATAAATTACATAGGTCAATGGGTTGCAACTGGAAGGCGGTATCTACTGTTTGGACTTTAGGGGCATAAAACGATTGATGGTGAGTTGAATTAATCATGCTTTTGACTTTCCTGTCTTGTTGTGATGCCATATAGATTCACTACTTCTAGTATTATGGCAAATAGATTTATATAGTTCTGAACTTTCTCCTAAATCCGTTCTCTTCATAAAAATGGATTCGAGTTATACATTATTTTCCTTGTAATAAGTTCAAAGAAGAAAACATTACAAATTTTGATCTTCCCCAAATCTGCTCGATTTTGCTAAATCGTTTGTGATATATGGCTGTTGTTAGATTGTAGTCGATTGATTGAATTGATTCCTCCTTTGTTCCTCTATTGTTTTATGAACTAGGGAATTTGTCGCTCGTGCGGGGACTTATTTTCTTTTGGAGAATGCAGTCATCAATTTTACTTAATTCATAGGGCTCTAGACTCAACATTTGATGCATAAATTATACTTGTTAAAAAAATACAATGGCCGTTGCTTGAGATTATATTGTACACAAATGCATCCTGAGATGTACGCTGAATTTCATTTTAGCAATATCATCTGTATTAATGGATAAATTTTGATTTGCTTCTTATTTGCAAAATTATGCAAGAGAAAGCCTAAGTGAGTCTCCTAAGCCATGGCAGTACCAGTACCCATATTAAGCTATGGTTGAAAACATAATGGTGAGGATGCTTCTTCTTTGATATCCTACACTGTATCGTCCGTCTTCTTTTTTTCCTGTGTGAGGCTAAGTGCTTTCTTCCCTACTTGGTACTATAAGCTAGACATTAGTGGTCAATACCACCAGTATACTGTTTACCCAATCGAGAGTAAACAGTTTGGAGGCATTGATTGGAAGCATGCAGTCTTGTCTTGGAAAGTAGATCTGGTTTAGCATATATTCTTGCTAACACTATATAAACTTAAAAAGATGCTCCCTGATTTTAGATACTCTCTCTTTTGCAATATGGTCGTATATTGGATATTGAGTTGAAGATTCCACCTCGCCCTCCTATTATTAATCACAGCAATGTATATTTAGGATTACATTTAGTTGAGATAGAATAGATAATTTTTTAAGTATATATGCTTGGTTTGAGTATCTTTGTTAGGTACAACACAGAACAAACAATACTATCTAAGCTTATTCTCCATTGAACTAGCCACTCAAGACTCCAAAAAACTATCGATAAAGGCAGGTATGTGATTTACAATTTGAATAAATAGATATAGTTGCTTCAAAAAATCTGTCAATAAAGGCAAACAAGTAAGTCATTTGTTTCATTAGATGGAAAATTTCACCATTGATAATGAACATCCGCAAGGCTTACTTGTTTTATTAGATGGTAAAAATCACTATTGATAATGCTCATCCGCAAGGCCATATTACTTATCATGTAGGAAAGATACAACTTAGTGGGTAAATAAAAGAGTGAAAGATAAAAAATGATTAAAGTAAAACGGAAGGTAAATCTAATGTTGTTCACTTTCTTCCTTACTCGTTGCTTTGGAGATGACTTTGTCCTCTATGAATAAGCCTCTCTTGATGGACAATAACCATTTTATTCATTTTCACTAGGAAACTAAATTTTCTTTTGGGAGTAGTTACTCCAGAACCCCATTTCCATGAATAACTTTACCAAAAATATTTTAGCGTATTGTATTGAAGCTTCAATCTCCTTTTACCATAGCTACTTCATTTTATGGCAGCTTCATTTTGGAGGCTTTGACATGCCAAAAAATAGATCTTTGGTTCTCATCATCTATGTGAATGATATTGAATGGATCCACAATGTATATGAACATCTTCACTGTTGGTTCTACTTTTTTTTTTGTTCTCTTTTTTAATGCGTCTCTTCATTGTTTTAGAAGAAAAATGTGTTTTGCATACTCATTCCAGTGACATTATCACTCGGTTATACTTTTGTACTTTTAATATATAAACTAACTTATATTCCATTTAGCTTTAGAACTAGTTAAATTGATGCTCAATGAACAAAAGAGTTATAAACAAATTGGTAAAAATAAAGTATATATCTGGAGATTCAACAAATAGGAGTAGTAAGTTATGAAATTAAAATATATGATATATGGTTCTTTCTATAAATTATAATTTTAATAATTCTATTCTTAAAAAGTTTATGAACCAATATGTGAAAATCTTAGAAGAAGTATAATTTATAAGTTTAATAATTCTATTCTTAAAAAGTTTATGAACCAATATGTGAAAACCACAGAAGAAACTAGAGATAGTTTAACTGTTTGATTATTTTAACTGTTAAAATAAGCACTTTGTAGGACTATACTGGGTATGTTGTTGTTGTTTGAGCTATGGAATTACTCCAAATGAGAAAACTCATGCGCAAATATGCTTCTAATGCATCTATGCCTCAAATTAGCAATGGCACCTCAGGTGAACAGGTAACTCCATTTCATAAGCTTTAAACATTTTTAATGAAAATCTAATCATATAAGAGTATTGTTATCTAACATGTTAATATTTATTAGATCCTTGACGCCAACAGTGGACATGAACGAGTACCACAAACATCGAGGACACCTAGTGTTGCTGAAAATGATCAACCTTCTCACGGTACTACTCATCTTTGAGTTTTCCTCCTTCGATTTTTGTTAATAATTTGTTGTTGTATTTGGACTTATGTGGATGCTTCTTGCTTTTATATATTTCCTTTAAACATTTTTGGTTTCCTTCTCAACAATATATATCTTTTACAATTAGAAATAGTCTTACGTGTCTTCTTTAGACTATTACAATTAGAAATTCTTCTTCTTTAGCAATTGTGTTCCTTGCATTAGAGATTTATGATCTTTAGCAAAATATAATTGTGCAGCATAGACTAGTCTTTGAATTTATTGCAATAGTTGACCATCCTTTTTGCCAGCATTTAACTGAATGTATCTCAATGTCAGCTACTGCTCCAAATTACTTGTAGTTGCAGTAGTAATTTCTTGTCATATGTTTCTCTCCTCCATCTTTTGGCATATATTTATTGGCCATGATTTTCCAGTTATTTGCCTCCCATAAAACATCAAATTATATCTGCTTCTATGGCTAGGGAAATTATTAAATGGAGAATCAATGAATAATAAGATATCAAAACATAATCTTTTTTTAAAAACTAAACTGGACCATTTTATTGATTATGGAAAGAATAACATATGTTGAGGAAGAAGCTCCCTCCTACTAGTTGAGAGGTTGACATGTCAATCTCTGTTCCTTTATATAATCAACATGAAGAATGAACCTATTTTTATTTGCATCATGTGGGATCAAATTGTATGTCCGCTAGCTTTAGTTGTCTGACTCTGAATTCTGCCATTTCCCATCTGTCTAGTTGGACCAAACCTCTAACCAAGCGAGGGAGTCTATCAAACCGCGTGAAGACAAGTTTATTTCGATGATTTAGGCTAAGTGAGGCTAGCTTATCAGCTAATTTATTAGCTTCGCGATAACAATGTTGTACTGTCAATCTCTTCTCCTCCACTATCTCCCCGATACTTTCCACTGCTTCCAGCATTCTCCACAGTGTGTTCGCTTTCCTATTAATACAGAATGTGTTTGAATTTCAATCCTCTAATAGAAACGCCAGATTGCTCTGTACGATGTTTCTGGATCAAGGGCTATGACATGTTGTTCTATCTCATTTTTAGCCGCTTCTGGAATGTCTCCTTCTATAATATATAGGTTCCATGCTCCATTGTTGTATACGTCAGCCAGAGGAATACTTCTAGGTTTGGTTCCTTCTCAGATGCCGTGCAAGGACTCCTTTTTTGGTCCAGTTGTCATACCAAAAGTATATTTGACCTCTTCCTGGTACCCATATCAAATTCTTCTCTGCATTTTCTTTAATATTACATAGTGCTTTCCAATGCATCAATTGTCCAGAATACCATTTTGTGAAAGTGAGCCTTTAACATCTCAACCTCTTGTTTCATCCCTTCCATTTCATTTTGGGAGGAATTCATCCAACTCTTGCCTAGACCTTTGCTGACTTTCATTATGGTCTGTGACATAGTCCGTTGGTAACTTGAACCAGCTGAAGTTAGTAACCTTGTCATATTGACCTGTTATACAAGTATAAATTGTGTCCTGTACAGGAGATTCATCGCCAATGGATAGTCTAGTAGCTAAGAGACCACAATTTAATCGCAGTGTCATAAGTTCATTTATTAGTGGCCATAGGTCACTGCTGCGCGCCCATCTGGATTTCCATTAGCCTCTTAACTACGTGCAAATGTATCTATGTATCTATCTTTGGAACTGCAAATCACTGATCTATCTTCCTCAATTTCTACTAGTAACTGAATAATGCTTGAGAATATGTTGGTGATATGGTCAGCAGTGCCCATAGGATTACTTTATAACTCCAATCACCCACAGTTCTCTATTTCGAGCATCGTGAAATATTCCTTTTGCCCCTCTATAATTCAATTAAGATTGGTTCATTTCCTGCTGTCAAAATGGATAAGTAGTTTCTCATCCTACCATAACTGCCCGACCAATTTTGGGTACATGTCCTATCTGTACAACTACATGTGATCCTTCTTATTCCATCTACTTGAATGCTTCATTTCTTCCTTTGCAATACTTCTACCAGCAAAAGCTTCAGTTCTCAGATTTAATTCTTGGGGCTGGCTTTGAGGCTGGGAAGAGGTATCACCAGATTTCATCCTAACAGCTTGTGTGGGAAACTGGCTCGTTGTGCATACCTCAGCTTCTCGATCTTCAGAAGTGACTTCCTTAGGATAAAATGGATCTCGAGAAACAATTTTGTTCTGCTTCAAAACAACCATCAAGAAGCTACCATGAAGCTATAAGAATGGGAAGAAGAAAAGAATACAAAGATCTAGGAGGCAAGGACTGCACTAACCAGCTTGATACACTCATAAATCCACTCACAAGTGACTGGTTGTATTCCCCACTTACATGCAACCTCATATTTAGGACCACTGGTAAATTTACACAACAAATGTGTGACCCTTTTAGTCAATTTCTCAGCAAATTTGGCTCCAATTGTAAAACACAAATTTCTCAGCAACTGTCTTTCTTTCTCATCATACTGCGAAACACAGAAGCAAAAACTCTGGAATGCAGGGAAAGGAACTCGGCATGGAAGTTGAGAATAGAGGATGTGACTACCAACATCTAGCAAGCATCCATCCTTTAGAGAAACAATATTCGGTTTTCATTAGCCTCAGTTTGAATAATGCCAGAAATCAGTGAGTACAAAGAGAGGAGAAACTGCAGGGTTATATTAATCCCTCTGCTACTTTTACAATGAATTACGCACATATTCTTAGCATCTCAAGTTAAACAGAAAAGGACCAATCATCCTACCACTCCCCACCCTCAGGTTCAAAGGAGTATCTGAAGGACTTATGAGGTAATATTTTGGTGCAGGTTGTTATATGCATTCAATATTCAAACATTGATAACAAGATGTTACTGTCCCCATGTGACTTCACCGACGTGATTCATCATTTAATGTTGTGCATAGTGATAAAAATCTGCTTTGTACTAAAAATGTAATAAGCAGATCTGCTTCGGCTCGTCTTAAGATACAACATCATATTAGGATGCCTTAAATTTTTTGTATGAGGTTGAGCTGGTTTTGTTACTGGTGCTTCCCTTATTTTTTGATTTACTGACAGATTATTTAAGATTTTCTACAGGTTAAATGATCATTTTAACCTACTTGCTGCTTCTTTTGTTACATTAATTTGATTTCCAAGTCATGCTTAGACTGTATCTTAACATTCTTGGATACTGATATTGGCTTAAAAAAAGAAATACTTAGATTCTGGTTACTCCGAGTAGGTTTATTCTAACTGAAAATTGTAGGGAACTCAGTTTTCTTCAAGATGTTTTTTTCACATTGTATTTCATCTTCTGATACAATTATTTTATAATTTCAGGTCATACATTTTGATGTTCAATAATTCAGCGGGTGGAAGATTTCATAATGATGAAAAGTTACGAAAATTGTTCGAAGACCATCATTCGTCTGGATTAGTTATATAATTACATTAGCTATATAGTTCAAACAATATAAGTTTAGTTATTGTGACATCAATATTTTTGATTAGTACTTCCTTTTATTTGTTAAAATTTAATGAGATATATTATGTTTTTTTGAATTAATATTAATATATTTTCTTATTTGGGTCATATTCTGGATAAATGTAGTATAATTATTATTAATGGTGGCTACAATATTGCTATTATCGCTTGTGACGTTTAGCGCTAATTTAGTTGGATATACCAGCTATATAAATGGACGATAAAGGGGCAAATTAAGATGTTTTACAAGGGATATTGCAGCTGTTATAATTGCTGTAAAATAATTGCCATTAAAAATATTGACTTTTAGCGGCAATTTAGTTAAATATATTAGCCACTAAAATGACGTTAAAATGACAAACTAAGATGTTTTCAGAAGGGATACTGTGGCCATTTTAATTGCTACAAAATAATTGTCGTTAAAGATGCGAACTTTTAGAGGCAATTATTTTGAATTTAGCGGCTATAAAAATGGATAAAGGAGTATGATTAGCTGTTATGGATTGGATTTAGTAGCCATTTCAATTGCCACAAAATAATTGCCGTTAAAGAAGCGAACTTTTTGCGGCAATTATTTTGAATTTAGCGGCTATAAAAATGGTTGCTAAAGCAGTTTAATTAGCCGTTATGGATTAGATTTAGTAGCCATTATAATTGTCGCAAATAATTGCCGTTAAAGATAATAATCTTTAGCGGCAATAAACCATACCTTTTACCAGCTTTTGTGACAATAGCCGCTAAAGGCTTTACCGACCTCGGCTTCAACGGCGAAACACTAATGGCCGGTAAAACATATAGCGGCTATTGTTATTGCCGCTAAAGTCGATTTATATTGCCGCTAAAGCCCAGATGCCATAGTCTCATGATGTCCAGTAAGGGTATCCTGGTGCGTCAAAGTTCCCAAGGGCCTCAGGGACCTCGGGCAATGCTCACACCAATATCCTTTTAAATGGAAGAGTAGTTATGTGCAGTGTGGAAGGGCCAGCCCCAGTGTCCCAGAGTTCGGAGGAATCTCATGGATTCCTAGGCAGTACACACACTAGAGGGGCAGAACTTAAGTAATCTAGGAGTAGAAGTGAGAGTGCTTGACATAGTTGATTTTTTTGAAAACTGTATAGAGGTAAAATCTTTAGGAGTGAAAATAGTTTAGGAGTAGTAATAGTTTGGAGAAACATATTAGGAGTGAAAATATGTTGAAAACCTTTTGAGGGAAAGGAAGGTTCAACAAACAACAGCACAGTCACAAAAGCATCACACTGCGCAGTTTCAATTTCACCTTGTCATTCGATTCTAGATGTACACACAGTTACACAAAAGGGAGCAGGGGTTGGGGAACACAAAACACTTGAAACAGGAGCACATAAGAAGAAGGGTGAAGGCAGTCATGTTAGTTAATAGAGACACAGAGCAGGCAGGAATACTGATTTAAGGTCTAAATTACAATCATACTTAGTGATAAGCATGATATTTAAGAACACACAAGACTTAAGTACTGCAATAAGCATGTTGGCTAAACACAGTGAGATATAAGTCTGGATACAGAGGTAATCATGCTGAAGAATACAGGAAGAACCACAAAAAGGTTCAATCACACAAAGTAGCTATACTAGTTGGGGTAACAAGACAGGGAAAACACAAAAAATAAACAGGTTGTTTAAGACCATATTGAATACTGAAGCAAATAGACATGCTGATTAAAAACACTGAACAAGAGAGGGTGAAACTTAAGCATATTGATCACACCAGCAAACGGGGGAGAATAATTAAGTGCCTAAGTAATTAAACTAGTGCAGAAAGAGACGAGGAAGGAGCACATATATTTGGATTTCGGAATGACATTGAAATAGGAACGTACCAGTTAAAGAAGCAAAAGCAGAAAGTAAAGTGAGCAGGGTTCCACAGTCTAGCCTTGGCTTTCAGCCAGCTAGACAAGCAATGAGCACAAGTAGCAGAAAGAGAGATGATAGAAAGTTTGTGTGTGTGTGTTTTTGAAATACTGTTCGTGTGTTTGAGAGGTAGAACAAGATTTATATATAGAAGTCGAATAGTGTAAGTAAATAAGGCAAGACGGGTAAATATTGTAAATAAGGTAAGGGGAGTAATCAAATAATCAATTAAGCTTGATAGAGATAGAAAATTAGGGGATTGTACCCATAAATAACTCTGATTGAGTTTCATATAAGGCAACAAGTGGATTTATCAGTCAATTAGGGTTAGAACCCTTAAATCAAGTAATTTGTTTCACATATAAGGCAATACGGGTAATCAGAGACAAATCAAGGGTCAATTAACCCATAAATAGGCAAGAGACGTAAATTAAGAACCTCAGGATTAAGGAAAACAAACAAAAATCAGTAACTTACTTCAGTAAACAAATGAAACCCTAGATAATTAGGCTAATTAGTCAATTATATTCAAACAATAACGGATAAGAGTTTAAAATCAAACAATGAATAGTTAGACAATTGAACCAGAAACATAATCATGCGAGAAAGATTAAACAAAACATATGGATCTCAGAAAACCTTTTGCGAAGCCAAAACCCTAATTTGAAAAATACTTGAAGTTGATTAACAGTGGGAAAATCAGAGGACCCTTAAAGAAAATAGCCATGGAAACTTGAAACACTTCAAATATGCAGAGATTCGGACAACTAATAACAAGGAAACCAAAAACCCTTCGTAACACAGTGCTAAAAATCGGTTAACAGTAGAGAAATAAGAGAATCTTAAAGAAAAATCAGTGATGAACTCAGAATCGTTCCAGATCTACAAAGATCTGGACAGATTCAAGTCTAAACATTTGGGTTTTGAAGAAAAAGGAAAGGGTAAAGAGAATCTGGCCTTGAACCAGAGATTTGCACCGTAAAACATCGATAGAAAAGCACTCACAGACCATAGATAGACTCTCAGAGAGTCTTGGACAAGATCTGGGCTAAATCTTCGAGATCTTTCCATGAGATTGCAAGAACGAGCAACCAGGAGACGTAGGAGACAAGTAGAAGTCTCAAACAGCCATGGAAATCCATGGATCGAATAGGAATCAAAAGGATTAGGGCTGGTTTTGGGTGGCGGCGGCTAGGGTTAGGATTAGGTCTCAGAGAGACGGAGAGGATTAGGAATTCTAGGGCAGCTGTTTGGTAAGGATGAATTAGGTTAGGAGGTCATTCAGGTTAAAAATGGAAAGAGTGAACGGTGGCCGTTGATCTCTGTGATCAACGGCTAGGATTGAAAGGTTTGGGGCCCGGGTTTTAATTCGATTTGGGCCCAGTCTTAGTGGGTTAGGGATTTGGGGTTGAAATTGGGCCATTTAATTAGGCTAGGCCAAAAAATAAAGGGATATTTGTTAAATACCCATTTAGTTGTTAAATGTTTTTTGAAAATAGTTAATAGATTATAATAAATGATTTTCATGCCTATAAATGTTTTAAAGTAATTACTTAATATTTAAAAAAAATATAAAAGGTTATTTTCTGGTAAAATAATGTAATAATGTATGCATGGGCTATAATTGCAAAGTAATTGCAATTATAACCCAAAAAAATGCAAAATTGGCTATTTGTGAAATAATTAAAACTTAATAAGAATGCAAAATGATAAAATCAAGTCACAAAAATTATTATAAAATCATTTGTGATGCAATCAGTGATTGTTTATATAAATAAGATACTGGGATAAATTAATTAAAATCTTTAAAAATGCAAAAATTATGGAAAAATATTAATTGATGCTAATGCATAGTTTTGAAAATATTATAGGGCAAAATTGGGTATCAACAAACTCCGAGCACAGCAGCACCGGAAACGGCTCCTCGAGCCGAACAAGTACCAGAAAGATCAAGTAACAACGGGTCAGCAGCCGATCCCGCTATCATAAAGATGCTCGAGGACCTCACAAAGAGGATTGAACCGGGCGAATAGAAGATAGAAGCCAATGACAAAAAGGTGGAGACATACAATTCAAGGGTCGATCAGATCCCAGGCGCACCCCCAATTCTAAAGGGTGTAGATTCAATAAATTTGTACCAGAGCCATTCCCGTCAAATGCTGCTCCAAAGCCCATCCCGAAGAAATTCAGAATGCCTGATCTCCAGAAGTACAACGGAACCTCGGACCCCAATGAGCACATCACTGCTTACACTTGTGCTGTAAAGGGGAATGACATGAAGGACGACAAGATTGAATCCGTCCTATTGAATAAATTCGGAGAAACACTTTCAAAAGGGGCCATGATGTGGTATCACAACCTAGCCTCGAACTCAATAGATTCATTTGCCATGCTGGCAGATTCTTTTATAAAGGCACACGTCGGTGCCATTAAAGTTGCTACAAGAAAATCCGACGTCTTCAAGATCAAACAAAGAGAAAACGAGATGCTGCGGGAGTTTGTATCTCACTTCCAAATGAAGCGAATGGAATTACCACCAGTCTCTGATGACTGGGTAGTGCAGGCCTTCTCCCAAGGTTTGAACGAACGAAGCTCGGTAGCTTCAAAGCAACTAAAGCAGAACTTGGTAGAATATCCCGCCGTGACTTGGTAGGATGCCCACAACCGATATCAGTCAAAGATTAGGGTCGAGGACGACCAACTAGGAGCCCCTTCGGGCTCCGTATATACTAGCAGGCTCTTGGCAAAGGAACCAAGACCAAACAAGGAAAGGTATGAACCGTACACTGAAGATCTAAGAAACGCCCCAAGGCGCAATATACCCTGAAATGACCGAGGACCGACCGAGGTCAGAATCCTCGGGGACTTGTGAGTAGAGCCGGATTTGACAGACATACAGGACCGACGGAGGCACCCTGATTGTCTGAATACAACTTCAACATTGATGTTTCGGACACCGTCTCTGCCATCGGTAAAATCAGAGACACCAGGTGGCCAAAACCCGTACAATCAGATCCGTCACAAAGGAATCCCAACCTGGTGTGCGAGTTTCACGGCACACACGTTCATGGGACCGAAGATTGCAGATAGCTCTGAGAAGAAGTAGCCCGACTAATCAGCAAAGGGCATCTCCGAGAGTTCCTCAGCGATCGAGCCAAAAATCAATTTCGGGAAAGAGAGGCGAACAGGAAAATAAAACAGAATAACCACAACATGTCATCC